TGGTCCGAAGGGGCTGTCAAACCTGCGGACTGACGGCCCCGCCAGCCCGCGACCCTGCGTTCGCCTCGTCCAGGTTTAAATCGCCCGGCTGGGGCTCGAAGGAAAACCGCACCCCCACCCCGCAGCTCCCCTCCCACCCTTCCTCCCGAGGTGGTTTCTTTCTTTCTTTTTTTTCCCCCCTTTTGACCGTGACAATCGAACGTGTGGATCTTTTCATTCATAGACCTGAGTGACACATTGTCTCGTGGTTGGTGTCTTCACCAAGTCTCTGCTGTGATGCTGGTGTCGTAACTCCGAAGTGGTTCGGGGCGACGGGGCAGCGCGGGTGACCGCGGCCCCGGAGGGTTCTTTTAGGGTTATTTTAGGATGCTGAAGGCACCGTGGTGGTGGCGGCTGGCTCCTAGACTTGGGAATCGAAAGCGACTTTCTTAGATGTCAATAACTGGAGAGCTGTTTACATAGCTCCCTGCAGGGAAAGGGGGCGCAATAAGGGGAAGCGTGTAGAAAACAGCCGGCACATTCTTTAATGAAATAGAGCTGTGATTTCGGGTTTTTGGGGGGCGGGGAGAGGGGTGAAGCTTCCTCATTTTAGCGCTGCGCCTTTGTGCACATGCAGAACTTGGGCTGGTGTAATGTTTTGGGTCGTAGTCTGAGAAGCCTGGGAGAACCCCTAGAAAACTTGGGTAGGTGAACTCCTGGTAACTCAAGTCGGGTGTTTTCTCCCGCTGCATTGGAACCGCTGCGGGCGGTATTGGTCGCCTGTTTCCCTGCTTAGAAAGTCGATTCTCTGGTTATCTGCTTACATTAGTGCACTGTACACAATTTATGGGCTGGATTGCCTGTGAAGAAAAGACCTGGAAATACTTAGGATACCATGTTGCCAACTGAATTTGGATGAATTAGAACACAAGCAACGACGGCATTAGAATCTGTTAATATGTCTGTGTGTTCAAGTTTTAAGTTTGTTTTTTTTAACTGAACTATTGAATTCTAGTTGACAGCCTAGCTCTCTATCTGAACATCACATGTTCTGGAAAATTTTAAATATCAGATGAACTGTTCTGCAGTGTCATTTTTATCTGAAGATGATCCAGTGATGTGTGTGTGTATGTGTGTTGGGTTTTTTGTTTGTTTTTTCGTTTTCTCAGTTTGTGTTTTGAGATAAAATTAAATAAAATTTCATCAATAAGTTTTTTCAGAAGTTTATCATTGACTGAGTATACAGTTTGAAAGGCATTGCTATCGGTTTTAGTTGAAGAATTAAAAATGAACCACATGTACATGCAGAACAGTGTTTTTATATATCTAATTTTTTAAAATTATAAGTAAATTGGATATAGCATTAAAGAGATGTCGCTAAATATAAATACTGTACTTAAACTGAAAAATTACATGAAAGTGTATATTCTCGCGGGGCTAGGTATATATAAAAAGGAGACTGTAAAAGAGCAGTGGCTTTGCCTGGTTCTGTATGTTGCACAGTCCTCTTGGAGGCAGAGCTTCCTTCCTGTCAGGATAAGATCCTCTCCATCCCAAATAAGTATTCCCTTTAAAAAAAACAAAACACACAAAAAAAACC